CGTTTGTGCATTAGTTCCGCCCACTACCGGAGAAAGCGGTAGTTCTTAAAAGCTGAAGAATTCCAAAGGAACGCTGTTATTTTGACAAGAAAATACAACAAAGAATATCGTTTACATGTAGCGCGTCAATTCTCTCTCTCTCTCTCTGCGTGTGTGTGAAACAAAGCGACGGGGAGTCGTGCGCCTTCACACTAGAGTGTACGGTACGTTAAATACAGGTGCGTTGCACATGCATTTAGATGAACTGAAAAACAGCACAGATCGCTTGATGGAGAGTGAAACTCTGAAGCGCTCAGTCAGAGTGTTCTGTGAGTGAAAATACATCTGTGCTACAGTTATACTTAACCTCCAACTCACACACTGGCGAGTAAAATCTGAGAATTTATTAGCAATTGGCTAATATTAGACATCATTTAGTCGCCCAGAGTAAGATTTAGTCGCATATGCGAGTGATTTACTCGCAATGTAGAGGGTTGCCTACTACATCAAAGTAATTCAGATAAGATAATCACTCTCATCTGTCTCAAATTATGCCAATATTTGTAACTAACTGAAGCAAAAGTTTACATTTACATTTAACTAATTTAGCAGATGATTTACTCTAAAGCAACTTACTAATCAGAAACATAAGCTATTTGTCACAGAGCCAACAATATTCATAGTATACAATGCAATGTTTATTAGACAGCTAGATTAAGAAAACAAGCTAGAGCAAAAAAAAGAAATTCAGAACAGAAGAGAACGTTTTTGAGTCTTCCTCAGGTTTTATCATTTAATTCATTAAATAAGATTTAATCATTTTTATCCCATTTACAGATGTTTAGTCTGCAAAAAAAGCATTCTTTTGATGAGCATTCTTCTCACCTGTCGAAGCTCTGCTGTGATTGGCTGACCCAGGCCAGATAGGGGCCTGTACTGGACCACATAGCCACTTACAGGCCCTCCTGCAGACGTCCATCGAAATCTCAGGGAATTGGTGGTCTCACCTGAAAACTGCAAGTCTGATGGACCACTGTAGGCCTCTGATGGTGAAACAGTTACACAAATCAATGATTTTAATATAGCAGGATCAATTACAACATTTAACAAATATAAAAGTTCTAAATTAAAAATACAAGTTAACAAAACTCTAATATAATTATAATCTTGAATTTAATTGCATTGTGTCTACTGCATGACAGGCTTACCGTCACTTGAGTAAGAGCCTCCAGTTGTTGTACACACACGTCGAGATACTAGGGGCAGCAAAGAGCTGAGAGCTTTGAAATTCCCAATCTGAGAGGTGAATTCACTTTGAGGAGGAGAGGCAATGAGATTCAGCTCAGCTGGGTCTGCACTCTTTATACCTGAGAAATGACAAAAGAGAATGAAACAACTATAAAATCAGAGCAAACTAAATATTTTTAATCTTTAGTCCATACTGAATCCACAGCCCAAAGATGCACTAAAGTTTGCAGAAAAAAATTACAATGGTGGCTAAACACTCTACATAACAGTTCTTACCCACTGCAAATATTTTGACTCCAAGGCTACGTAGTTTTTGAGAAGGCTCCTGCACACTGTCCTGAGATTTACCATCAGTAATGAGAATAGTGATCTAAAAGAAAGAATGAAAGACAGTGATGAGTCAAGAAAATAAAACTTAAGTATGCTTTACCTGAGTATTTATTACACACAGAATGAATCTTGTAAACAAAAACTCACAAGCAGACATCATACACTACAGTTCAAAAGTTTGGGGTCAGTAGTTTTTTAATGTTTCTGAATGTAGTCTCTTAAATTCACCCAGGTTGCATTTATTTTACTAAAAATAAAAGTAAAAACAGTAATATTGTGAAATCTTACAATTCTAAATAACTGTTTTCTGTCTTAATATATTTTGTAATCTATTCCTGTGAATACTCTTCAGTCATTACTCCAGTCTTCACTGTCACGTGATCCTTCAAAAATCACTCATATATGCTAATTTGGTACTCAAGAAACATTTATTATTGATATCAATTTTAAAAATAATTCTGCTGCCTAATAATTTTGTGGAAACTGTGAAACAGTTGAATCAGAATTCTTCGATAAATAGAAAGATCAAAAGAACAGCATTTTTAAAAATATAAATATTTTATTTAGTCATATTTGATCAATTTAATTTAATGATCAATTCAAAATGTTTTGAACAGTAGTGTATACAGTCAGTGTACAAATACTAAGCAAGAGCTTGTGTTGGATAACTCAAAGCTAAACAAAGTAATTTACACATTTGTGGTCCATGCCACAACTACAGATATGGCAAGTCAAACATGTGTGTCATAACCTCCAGCTCACCTTGGGTACATCTCTGAGAGAGGAAGGGCTGAAGAAGTTGTCTGCGATGTATTTGAGGCCAGCCCCAGTCCGTGTGTTTCCACCTTTATAGTTGATATTCTCTATGGCAGTTATGAGCTCAGTTCCATTCAGGTATGTAGTAAATGTAAACTCCACCCTGAGAATCATAAAATTCACAACTATAATCAACAAATGTCCCAACACCGACATCCATGAACCTTTACTGTACATAACAAATATAATATGTGCAGCCCCCTCATCAAACACAAAGACACTGTTTACAATAACATGTTCAAAATACACAAAGAACTCCTCTTCTGCAAAGCTGTTGCAAAAAGAGATTAAACAAGATTCACCAAAGGGGATCATCACAATGTTTACTTCAAACTACAACACAACAATATCAACAACACTATATACTCATCTACGTATGTTTAATAATAAGACTTTACACATTACCATGATGAGCAAGATGGGTCAGACTCAGTTCACGTTAGAATGTGTTCAGCTTGGACAAGTTTGGCAAATTAAATAGTATGAACTAGCCTTATTCACTTTATTTAACTCAGAAAAACAAGTACGTTTGAATTGCCATAATACACAGTATGTACTATTGGCATATAATATGAAGTGAAAATGTAAATAAAATGTAAAAAGTCCCCTCAAGGCATGTCTGTTCACTCAGCAGCCATCTTGGCAATGCCCCCAAGCAGCTATTTTCTATGTAGGTAACAGGCATGCAAGCGGTACACAGCACATCAAGTATACAAGCACAAAGAGTTTCACAGACCTGGCAGTATCGCTGTACTGTACGGTTCCAAAACGGATGCCATTGGGTCCTACCACTCTGGCAAAGGGTTTGACAATCCCTGCCATGAAATTCTTGACCAACACAAAGTTGGCCCGGCCAATACTGGATGATCCATCTACTAGGAGCACAATGTCTGCTGCAACAACATTATTGCACTGGCCTGTCAACAGAAAAAAAAACAGTTAATACTGACACAACGACTTACATAAATATGCACAAATGTGACCTTTCCACTGTAAAAGAGATATATTTGCAAATATTTAGAGTAGAAGTCTTTTAAGTTTGGATATGTGGGTTTTCATTAATACAAATAAAAAATGCTTTCATCAGTGCGGCCAAAATTAGATTAGCGTTAACAAAAATGGGTCAAGCACAGTCACTAACAGTAATAAATATGCATATAGGAAAAACATACAGTGCTTATACTGTTTATTTTCTTCTAAATGCATATTCTTCTTTGCCTAAATTTTAACTCTTTTTATTTTGCACATAAGCATTTTATTCTTTGTATCTAAAATGCACAGTCATAAGGGCTAGACAAAACATTTCACTGTGTACCATTGTGTATACGACAAATACAACTGTGAACTTGAACTTCAGTTTTTCCATAAGCATCCACATCTGTGGTCTATTCAATTCATGTATTCAGTAAAGGATTAGGGGAGGATCAGGGTGAGAAGACACACAGGATATGACCATCACCACCCAGTCTGCAAAGCCATTTCAAGGAAACAAAGCATCTGGGCCCATTTATTCAGCGGCTGGTGTGCCATCTCTCCTTCACACACTTCAGTATACAGCCAGTCATCAGATCTGTGGCTGTGTGTGACTCACCAGCTACATGAATGAATGCCCTTAAGGTAGCAAACTAATTAACCTGCTGTGTTTGATTTGATCAATGAGTCACTGCATTCTGATAGGGCATGATGGGAAGTACCCATAATGAGAACTGTCTAGTATGTGAGTACTATGTAGTGTACTGAACGTGCAGAATTTAAAATTAGGGATACACAATATACTGGGTCCATACTTGATATCAACAGATATTAGTGTGCGTGCATGTGTATTTATCTGTATTGAATTTATCTGTATTGATTGATATTACATACTGTACTGTATGCCAATCTAGATGTGTGTTAATGGATAAAACCGTATAAAATATAATTATAATAGTTACAATAATTAGTTAAAATAATTAAAAATAAGTGAAAAGTGGGCTATTATTCGAAAAAGGTAATTAATAATTGTTATTTTGAATTCTACTTTGTTTTTCATTCAAACAGACTTTTTTCTTTAGCAAATTTTTAAATGATTAATAAATATTTTCTTTCATACTATACTGTTATAATGCTGACAATTGTTTTTTTGTGTGTTTTATTTGTATTAAATTTTTTAAAATAGTATACATTTTTAATATCTGCCATTTTTCAGTTGTTGGCCATAACATGAAAATAAATCAACAGCTCATCAGTATCAGTTACAATTAAATAATAATGTTAAAAATATTATTTAATAACAGTAATAATAAAAATAACAATAATAATGTGCTGATCTATGTGTGTTCAAGCAAAATATTACTTTAAAACATTTAACTAATAACATACGTTATTTTGAATCCTATTTTTTTTTCTTCAAACAGACTTTTTTCTTTATCAAATTTTGACATGATTAATAATCCTTTTTTCCATATAGTACCATTATAATGTTGACTGGGACTAAGCGATATGGTCAAAACATTTATCACGATAAAATTGTTCATATTTTTCAACTTTTTACATGACATCGATAATTATTACAATAAATGTCAAATATTTAATTCTTTCAAGTTTAAAGGCAGATTTCTTCTCTTGAGTGAAAATTGCAGAAATTGTTTTAAACTACTCTTCTTCTTTTTTTTTTAACAGAACATGACAAACACTTGCCAAACAGGTGAACATTTCACAAAACTGAGGTACAATATTCCAAACATTTATATATTTTATATTTTTCTACATCAAAATATGCACAAATAAACTTAAGTAAAATCCTTTTTCAATCTTTTTTCCTTAACAAAATATCTTAGTTTCTGCATGTTTTAATGGTTGATATTGTTTCAAATCATGAAACAGGTTTGTGTTCCCTGACTTTGATGGCACAATACAGATGTAATTTTTGGTTCATTAACAAAAACAGTAACATCTGTAAAAATGGTAACAACCTAACGCTGTTTCTTTCCGCTTTTGGTGCATAAAAATTATATTGAACATTTATCAAACATGTTATTGTTTTATCGATATGTTATTAAAGATTAACTATGACTTTGTGACTTTCTTACATGCCTCAAACTAGTTTACAGATGTCTTCATTTTCATCAAAGAGGGAAAATTCAGTGAACTGATACTGCAATATTAAATATGCTAAATGAGACCTGCACATGCTGCAGATCAAATTAATATAGCTCCACTATATACATGGTCATTTGAATGGCACTTCCTGAAATAGTACATGAATCTTTACCTTGAGCTGTAGACCGTGATGGGAGACACAGCAAAACAGCAAGCAGCAGAGTCCATTGCAGCAAACACCCCATTTTCAAATCCTACACATAATGACACAAAAAAGAGAAAAATGTGTGTAAAATGGTCATCTAAACCAAAAAAATTGATTATTTGGTTAGCTGTTTTCAGCTTAAATAGCAGCAACATAATGTTCCTCCTCCAGGTGATCTGAGTGCCCAGATACCATGAACATCTGGCAGAAGCTCAAAGACAAGAAACTAAGAGAAGCAAGGTGGGGCTTACACCATCACCACCACATAAAATAAAGAGCAAAGACTCAGAGGAAGATGAGCTTGTGCAAGTTTGAAAAGCTGTTCTATAATAGGCCATTTTTAACAACACAATGAAGAATGCATTTTTCAAGAGAGAACATTTGTTTGAAAGAACATTCCTATTATATTGCTATTATGATTACAGAGGTTACAGACTGTTATTGCTCAAAATAATATGCTATTGTATGATTCAGACCCATAACAGAGTTAAAGCATGTGCACGCTTACACACATGCTCCTGCTTGCACTGGTGCTAAAACTCAGAGCACATTCTCATTCAGCAGATCTGCTCACACATTGCAGATATTGTCTTGCACTTTTAGTACTTTTGTGTTTGTTACTATTCATGAGGGAAAATATGTGGGATCGTGCTGTTCCTTTTCAACGGAAGTGGTCCACACATGAATGTTCGTTGCATATGCTGAGTGTTACTATTTGTCCTTTCAAAGATGCCATTTTTTTAAATATATTTCCAGCAGACGGGTCTGTTTTTGATTTTGTAACGAGAGGAAATCGTGGTCCACATTTGGAGTCACTTGGGTTTGCACTCAACAATGACTGCTCTGGAAAATGGCCTGCCTAAAAAACAAGGTTAAAAACTCACAGACAAACAGAGACGCACATAAAACACACACATGGACATCATTAAACCTTCAAAGACCTGAGTCAGAAAAGCATAACTGATTATGTTTTGGTTTATTTTTCTGGAGTCTCCTACTGTCTAGGATAAACAAGAACTATTTTACCTGTATTATCTTCATTGTGGTGAAGACTTTTAGTTGGCAATTAAACTTGGTCTCATTTCAAATCTCAAAATGCCACAACATGAATTTTTTAAACCACTTTCAAAATACCCAGATCTCCACAAAACCTTAAAGCATCCCAAAAGACACGTCTATCTGGAACACACACAAATACACAGACAAACAGACTAAACACTCATCTAAACATTTAAACCTCCCACATATGCACATGTGGGACTTTTGTGTGCTTTATTTTCAGCTGAGTGGACTTGTCCAGTGACATGATCCTTTTTATTGTGCCATTAATTAAATTATATGATGTGGTCCCTTTAAAAGAGTCTTTTACAACAGTAATTCCTTATGGCAATAAAATTAGAAGAAGCATATACTGAATATGGTATACTACACAATAAATACAATAGGGCCACATTATTGATTACTGTGAATATTAATATAAACCATAACAATTTATATTTAACTCTCTCCCTTTCAATCAATCTGTCTTTGTTTCTCTCTGTGTTGTTTGCATTAATTAAAGGAACACCGTCATCATTATGTGGTTTATGGAAGGGTAATTATAGCATTTATAAGTATCCTGACTGAACCACATTTGAGTTTGAACTGCCAGATTGTCTACGGCAGCCTCTCCCTTCCTCCATCGACACGTTGTGCATTCCGTCGCTCTCGCTCTTACACCTTTGGTTGCACAGAATTTTTTGAGGCGGCGTCATTGCACACCTGAGGTCAAGAGAGCATTGCTATGTAGCCATCATTCAATGCAATACTTGCTTAATATCACATGCAATAATATATGTTTGATTTTTTGTATGTGAACCCAGTTAAAACAGATTTCAGTCCTGACTTTTTCAAGTAATAAAAAACGCTATTTACTGTGTGGCTTAACATAAAAGACTGAGGAATTAGAGAGACATTCTTGAGCTCTGTAAAGTGGATGCTGGGAGAAGAAACAACAGCATCAACTACTTGCAGGCTACTACACCACAAACACCAAATACATCAACTAAAATGTTCATTGCCTCTGTCAGCTCATCGTGCCCCACTGGAAATGCAATCATCGCACTAGACTAATAGGTTTCTGACTGATGTTTCTTATGGTATCCAACTATGTATAATCATCTGTAGTACAAAAAACCCTTTATTCTCTATTCTTTTGAGAGATTGCAGTCAAATTATTATTTACAGAACGTTAAGCTTTCTAAACCTCTGGGAAGCCTCCTTACTGAAAACGGGAAACTTATGATATAGCGAGTATAGTAGCAAACATATCCATAAGGGATAGTTAGCCCAAAAATTAAAAGACTGTCATTATTTACTCACCCACTTATGTCATCATAAGCTGTCCTGTGCTGAAAATTACCTCATAGCACCACCTAATGCCCAAGCAGCAGCATTACCAGTGGAGTCGGTTTGAACATGAATTCTGCATCACTGAAACACGTCACGTTTTTTGGTGGAACTACCCTTTTTTGACAATAACATGTAGGCCTATGTGACTGACATTTAATGTTATAGAGCTGAATTTGTATATCTGCACAGCAGTTGCTATTTTGACACCCACCACACACATAAGTTTACTAAATGTTTAATCATTCTAAAATACAGATTCAGAACGATAATGTTTTTATACATGCTAGCCATTTTGACATTGTCATGTTTTGTTTATTTTTTAAATAATATATTGTGTTTTATTCTAATTTCTCCCTTCAAATTGATGCTTCATGTTTCAAACTGTTGTAGAACAAGGAAAAGTTCATGGCCGGGAAAGAAGATGTCCCAAAAGGAAAAGGAATTAAATTAAAAACATTCCTCCCCCTGACATGATGACTAAAGTTTATCCTCAAAATATTATATTCGGAACACAAAAGGAAAGTGGGTGTCAAAGTTGTCTGCTGGTCACACTGCCAACTATTTCATTACAGTCTGCCTCCCACACACCAGAACAAAAAATAGAAAGAAAGAGGACAAAGAAAAAACAAACATATTCTAGTTGGGGGGGATTTCAAAAGTAAGAAAGAAAACAAGCCGACTGACCATCCAAAATACAGACTAAATATCTACTGAATATATTTACTGGATTTATTTATTTATTTAAAAAAAATAGACAAAATAATTGAAAAAGACAAGAAACTAAGAGAAGAGAATGCATGGTGAAGTGCATGCATTGCCATTTATTAATTATTTTCTTGAATTTGTGATTTTTTGGCTACCAGTAAAAGTCTACACTTCAATAAACACATTTCATGTTTAAATCTATCCAATTTTACCCCATAATCAGTGCAGAAAAAATGTGTAGTTCACGAATTCTGAAACACAGGTCTGAGTATCCAGACATGAACACATGGCATTTCCATTCACATGCTTCACTATGTATGTGTTACAGTCTAATCAGGAAGCAAAAAAGCTATGGATACTGACATGCAGCTGTTATTGGTTATGTGATCCCAAATGTTGTTCACATATATGTGAAAAATCTTGTGCAACCAAATGTTTTCTACTGTATAGTAAAGTAGTATATTGACATCAAAAGAGCTGAGCAAGTTATCGGCAAACACAGGGAAACTTTAAGGTGCTGATTTATAATTGTTCTTGAAATAATTATTCAAGTCTTGGCACAGTCATAAGAAAATCTTGAGCGTAAGACTACTGAGCATTCCAGCTGTTCTTAATAATGACATGCATACTCTCTTATACAAGAAAAAAAGCCCACACACTAACATTCACAGTCTGACTATAGTCACTCAACACGAGCAACCCCTCGGCCATGCTTGCATGTTCAGCAGGTGTCCACGGTAACCTAGACACTCCAGCCCTGCCTACCGAGTGTGAGATATCCAAAGTGATGAATCACACAAGTTCAACTGAGGTCATGCCCGCCCCCTCTGTCTGAACAGGCAGTTTGGAAATGTTTATTGGAAATATCACTTTTCCACTTCCATCACATCACCAGCCCATCATTTTCTTATTTATAAGTTCTTTATAAAAACGCCAACATGTGCACATGTGGTTGAATCATGAATTGAATTTGTGTTGTGATTCCTTTCATCTTGCTTCTGATCTGTCCTCTCTCTGCCCTTTTTGTTCTTGAAACCAGCATGATTTAACAAACATGCAGTCTAATGTGAATTAGCCTAAATTATAATGAAGTTGTAACACAGGAGCCAAGGACACCCCAAGCAGTTTTGTTCACATAAAATATGCAGTGATGATGTGTTTTAACACATCTCATGAGAGCTAGATGAATAAATCTGAAGTATCTGAAGCACATCTGTTCTGTCAAATAATAAGAATTGTGGTATTTTGTAGGATAACAAGCTTGTATCATATCATTGATCAGTAATGCTCATCAGACCTGCATCACTTTGCATGACAGACTTTATGATTTTGCACCTTTAAGCTGTGTTCACTCTAAATTGTAAAACAAGGTAAAATGACATTCCATAGCTTTCAGAATTACTTCCATAAATCATTATTGCTTCAAACTCAAGAGTCACCACTCTATCCTGACGCTTCCCTCTACCCAAGCCTAGAGCACTTTATTAGCACTGACCCTAGAGAACTGTCACTGACCTCAGGCCGTTGTTTTGCTGACCTTATAACTGATCTTAAAGAATTGAATTACTGACCCTGTAGCATTCTATCACTGACTTGAGTGTAGAATCACTAGTTCCCAAACTTTTAGACTCCAAGACCCCCACACTGTCCTAAACAATAATCAATGGCCCCATGACTTTTCAAGATTTTTTTATATTAATCACAATTTGTACGTGATGAAATGTTTATCAACTAGAAACTAAACCAGAAAAAATTATATTCATTATAAAAATGCTAAATGTACTTATTAAACAAGCTTATTTTAATGTTTGACTTTTTTTTTTTTTTAAGTCATCTTGAGGCCCCTTTGGAAATTTACCGAGGCCCCCTAGTGGGCCCTTGCCCTAAAATGGTTTCAAATAATTAAAATCTAGCTTAATTTGTAAAAAGTGAACTCTCAAGATGTAAACACTATATTTATTATTTCAAAGTTCCTCTCTCAGCAACTGCTTTTTTCTTTCATTTATTTAATATAAGAACATACAGTTCCTCAAACTTTTGGGATTAAAATTAACCTAGTTAATTATTTACATTCATTATCTTTTGCTGTTAATAAAAATAACAAGAAGCTTCTGCATCGTGACACATTAGAAAATATCTAAGCCTACATGTGAGGCCTTTGAATATGGTGGGACAATGGGGGACAATTGGGGTCAAAAGGTTGAGAATTACTGCCCTAGAGCGTTTATCACTTACCCTGTAGTGCGCTGTATACTTGACAGCGCTTTATAACTGATCCTAAATCAGTTCCAATCAGTGACCCTACAGCGTTATATTGCTGAATAGAATTCCATCACTGACCACAGAGCGCTCTATCACTTATTATGGTGCGCTCTATCAATTCAACGCAAACGGACTTCTACTTACCGCTCAAAACTGGTCACCGAGGCGAAGCAGTCAACGACGTTGTCCTAGTCACGCATGATTTGACAAATTCCCTTGAATGAGCCTGTATTTGTCTGGAGAATGTCTGGAAAAAAGTTTAGTTTTATCTAACTACTCCTGCGCGATGCACCTGCATCTGCCAAATGACTTTTTTCCCTCCTCAAAACTGTGTAGCCTGCAAAAATCCTCTCATTGACTACAAGCAGAGAAATAAAGTCATATCTCCTTGGTTGTGCTATTAGCTGCAGTGAAAGTACTGCAGCCCAGACTTGTTCAGACGCCCGCAGCTAACTAAGTCCATCCCTAGACATTCACTCTCTTCTCAGGATCGTCTTTCAGAACTGCCCGCCTTCTCACGTTACAGCCAATCAAATCAGAGTTAGCGGTGCTCGTTCGCTCTATGCTCGTGCCTGTACCTGCACAGGTAAATTGTACGTTCATAATCAAATGTGTTATTTTTCCCGGGGCTGAGACATTACAGCGTCTGATAAAAATAGAACAGGCGGGACAAAATTATTATTTATATTTTTCAAACTTACATTCGTTTCTGTTATTTCCCATTCTATAAATAAAAAAAAATATATAAAAAAATATGATTTGGCAATGTTCAAATGAATCGCTATGAATTGATAGTTTTAAATGAAGATTGAAGATCCAGGGTCAAAAGTTTAGAGGATCACTCAGAGACAGTAGCACAGAGAGAAATAAGTTTTACATTTTGGTAATGTCATGTAGCATATATGGGTTTACAATATACTCTCTCTTTTTCTCTTTTGCTGTCTCTCTATCACACATACATGTACACTTGTGGCACACCCAAGCATCTGTCCACACTCATCTGGAATCCAAGCCTAGAGGGCATCCATCCTTTTTAAGACATAATCTTAAACCTCACTGGTTTCCCTCTCTTTAATCAAAATGAATATATATTTGGGGGCGTTTAAACTATTCATGGTTTATTAAGGGATTTATTATGCTAAACAAAAGAACAAAAGAAGAAAATTGTCATCAGATTTATTTTGAGGGCAGGCTTAGACTTGTCCTGGAAACAAAGGTTTGGACAGGGTGACAATGAGTTGGTATTTGGAACAATTATGTGGTTTAAATTAGGCAGCTGTTTATGTTGGGGGCTTAAAAGGGAGTGGTAGCAATGTTCAATTTTAAATGGACAATGTTATGTACGTATAACAGTATAACTGAAGCATTTAATTCATTTAAATGATAATAATAATACTTATTATTATAAAGGAACGTATTTTAATATTGACAAAGTATTTTTGTAGGCTGCAAAATTTAGATGCCTACATTTCAAATCGGGAGTGCCTCTGTAGGCAGCTCACTAGGTTTTAGAACCGCACAATAGCATCAAGAAGTGCAAAAGACTGAATGGCCATGAACATAAATGTTGATTATTTTAGATGGATTGTGCATGCTTATATTTAACTGATTGAAATTTCAATATGTCTGTCAAATTTTAATAATCTATGCGTGCCATTGTCCTCAGGGTTTAAATTGGGCCAGGGCTGTCCGGGGCCGTCCGGGGCTGAGCCCCGGCACATAGACTGTATATTATGCATCTATTGTGAGGCGAGGCTTACACAGCCTCTCCAGGAGAAATCAAAATGCGCATCACTAAGAAACTCAGCATCCTGAGGTAAAAATTTAAAATTAAAAAAATATATAAAAGTTTTTATATTTAAAATACAGTTAGTTAGGCAACATCAAACAACGTTTTCACCATTACGACTGTTTAATAGTTCTATAAACAGTTCAATAAGCAAATACAATAATATTAGGTCACTTACATTTTAGGCGGAAACAGCGCATCTCACAGCAACCAGCCGATTCATTGCTGATCGATTCCGTGTTTTGAACGAATCGGTTTAATCAAAGTTTCATTAGCCCACGCTTAAACATCTGATGAATCTGCCGTTTGAACAAATCGTTTGAATGAACGACTCAATGACTCATTCATTAAACACTACTGGCATTGGTGTTTTAATTTCGTTGAAAAGTATAATTTCCACCATAATTTCTTGTTTGTATATTAAAAAATATTTAAAAGAATCTCATAATATTATTTAATGCAGTAGTATTTTTCAGTGTAAGTGATTTAATTTGATAACTATAGATAATCACATTATTATAATTGAATTTATAGATCGAATGTAAGAATTTGAAATGAAAGTATTAATGAGATTAGTGGGAAAATACCCTCTATAAAAATAAAAATAAAAGTCCTTGGATAAAATATTGAATATATAAATATTGAATAAAATGAGAATATTGCTTCAGAATAAATCATATTTGCAAAA